GGTTGTCCAGGCATAGCCTCTAGTGCGGGATTGCGTATTTTCCTCTCGTATCCAAGTGCCAGGCGACGCCAGATATGACCGTTACAGATGACTCCTCAACCCCTCCTCTCCCCCCACACGTCCTCCCCCTCCTTTCAACGACCACAGGGGGCACCTGAGAGCATGACGGCGGTGGTAGTGGTAGCGCGGTTCACACAAGACATAAAATCAGTATGTGGGTATCCTCGGTAGCGTAATTTTGTTTACATGTGTGTATAAATATATATGTATATATAACATATATATATATATATATACAACAAAAAATGGCGACGTTTGCCAATCCTCTGCTTCTGTGGGCCCCTGTGGAGCCCAGGGGCCGTCAAAGAACGACTCGGAATGCGAAGCTGGTCCCACTGACAACAGGTCCAGACCTCGGCCCACCTTGCGAAAAAAACACGGCGTCGGAGATCTGGGGGGGGGGGCAGGGGAGGACAGGTCGGTCGGGGGCGTCCAGGACGGGGGGTGGAGACCATAAGGGGTGGGAGACATCATGGCCGGGACCATGACGACTCCCAGATTTCGCGCGCCCCCCCTTCTTCTTTCAGTGCGCTCCCGGGCCCCCACCCTCGCCCGCGCTGGTGCCTCTGGCCATGATGCGCACACAAACACACAGGCACACACACAGGCACACCTCTTCCTGGCCCCCGTCCTCGGCGCACCCGACACGGCAGCGGCCCTCCCTGGCGCTTTCCGTCCTCTCTGGGGGCTCCTGGGGGGTTCTCATCGCCACGGCCGGATTTGCTCTGGAAGACCGGTCAGGATGGGGGTCTTGAGAGGAGTTTGGTGGCTGGTTTCGAATGGGTATGGCATGGGCCAGGCGGGACACCGCAGTTGTTTCAATTGGCCCTCCTGCAAGGGGCTTCTCTCTATCGTTGAAGCGCCGGCTGTCTGGGGAGGGAGGTTCCTCTTTTCTTCCAGGAGTACTTGGGGCACTTCTTAAAGGAAGGGCTTCCCCCCCAAAAAAAGAGTTTGATGTTTCCTCTTCGGCGGAAGCCAACAGAAGTAAAACGAAACCTCGGCGGCTCAAGGACGCTTCTCGCACAGGCGAGCGCGGGGTCGCAATTCCCCACCAGGCGGAACCCTAGTGTTCTCCTCTTCCTGCCATGGCGATGCCGTGCTGGGCGTGAAGGTTTCGGAAGGTTTCGGAGGAGGAGGGTGCTGCGGACGCCTGCGAGGCGAGCGCTGCTCGGCTGCCCGACCGAGCTGGACCGCCACTTCGACTTTGATTACAAAACCGACGGCGGGAGCCAGGGCATATGGGTGGCAAGATGGCCTGGAGACGAGCTGTACGACTTGCCATAGTGGCAGGCAGCTGTTGGCATCACGGTCAGCTGCTTACTCGTCCTGTGGCCGCCCACGCAGTTCATCACGAAAGGCTAATTCATCAACGAGAACCTGAGCTTGCACCACCATCTCAGTTGCCCAGACGAACACAAGTTTCGCGCAACAATCATCGGATGAAAGTCTGGAGTTAGAATACGGAGTCTTTGATTCGCATCGATCGAGTTGGCGAACTGCTACGTATCGCCAAGGATCAGAAGATTGCCATTGTACGCTTTCAGAGTACATTGATGAGTGGCACCACACCGTGGAATTGTGCAGGCTACAGGATCTATCCGACGGCACGGACTTCTACTCGAGCTAAGGATGGGTGCCTCACAGCCATCAACTTATCTAACTTCAACCCATTGGAGGTCAGATGCGTCCACGAGTGGCTTCCAGGACGTATCCTGGGACTCCGTGTCCGACGTGAAGGACGCCAAGAGCGCGACCTCTACATACTGAACGGTTATACTCCGACCAACTCCACCGTACCAACCCGCGGGAGCGGACAGAGACAACCAGCCTGTGTTGGCCACGAACAATGTTCCGGACGTTCCGGACATGCTCCGGACAAAATGTTGTTCCGGACAGTTTGTTCCGGACAGTTGTTCCGGACAATTTGTTCCCGACAGTTGTTCCGGACAACTGTAGAAATTGACGTCCTTGGGGGCCGCGCCGCCCAGGGACGTAGATTTCGGACGTTCAGGCGCCGCGGGGGAGCAAAATCGACGTCCTTGGGCGGGGGAATTCTCCCTGTGGTTGGTTTTTCTGGCGTTACCGTTTCGGGGGTGGGCGGGTCGGGGGGGGTAACTGGCGTTATCCCTTTCGTATGTCGATCTTGTGACGTTTGGGGCCCGTTCTCGGGCCCCCGAGCGCGACGCCGTCAGAAATGGATCTGGAACGAACGCTGCGCCCCGGAGTGCTGGAATCGCCCGGAACGGCTGCCGGAGGCCCGAAGTATGGCCCAGAAACCGATAAGGTTTTACACCGAGGTTTACGCCTCAAGGCCCTGAAGATCGAGGTTCGAGATTTTCTGGCCTTCGGGGGCCTCCCTCCCCATACTGCCTCCTCCTCATCATCCTCATCACCATCATCATCATCACCATCATCATCATCATCATCATCATCATCATCCTTCTCATCATCTTGTATCATCATTATTATCCTCCTCCTCCTCCTCCTCCTCCTCCTCCTCCTCCTCCTCCTCCTCCTCCTCCTCAGACTCGCGATAGCGAGCTGGGGCCCGAGGAATGGCCGTGAGCGGGGCTGAATGGCCGCCGCGGCGTGCGGCGCGGACCGCGTTTCTTCCTCTCTCCTCTCTCTTCTCTCTTCTCTCCTCCCTCCCCTCCTCCTCCTCCTCCTCCTCCTCCTCCTCCTCCTCCTCCTCCTCCTCCTCCTCCTCCTCCTCCTCCTCCTCCTCCTCCTCTCCTCCTCCTCCCCTCGTCCTTCCCCCCGCTGTGGCCGATGGCCTTGAGCAAAAGCAAGTCCTCCTCCTCCTCCTCCCCCCCCCCTCCTCCTCCCTCCCTCGCCGCCTCCCACCCGCCATCCTCCCTCCCTCTTCGATCCTCCTTGTCCCCCCTCGCCCTCCTCATCCTCTTCCCCCTTCCTCCTCCTCCACCCGCTCCTCGTTCTCCTTCTCCGCTTCCACCCCCGCCCAGGGACGTAGATTTCAAATGATGCGGAGCCGGCGGGTCCCGAATCGTACGTTTCTGGGCCCCGACAGGCTCCCATGGTGGTTCCAGGCCGAGGGCGCTCGGGCTCCGGGGTCATCTGGGGGCCATGTGGGCCGTCTTGGAGCTCTCTTGGGGCCATCTTAGGCCGTCGCGACCCACCCTTGACCTACCGTCCCCAAGGAAGGTCCCCTGAGGTGTGATATACGGGCCCCAGGGAGGTGTTATACGCCCCCCTTAATTGTTACAGGGCCGTCTGAATCGCAGTCCTTGGGTTGCACGCTTGGTTGGTTGGCTGGTCGGCGCGGCCAGGCTGGATCGTCGGATGGGGGGCCGCAAGTAAAGGAGGCGACCCTAGCGGTTGTCGGATGCCGGTCGGTTGTCGGTTTCCGCGTAACTCGTGGACGCCTATGGCAGGGCGCGTCGCTGCCCAGAAACGTATGTTTTGCTTACCTCGGCCGTCGGAGCGCTCGAAATCTAAGTCCCTGGGCGAGGGGGTAGGCAGGAGGCAGGGCCCCCCGGACCCCCCTGAGCAATTGCTGGATGCTTGACATCAGCATGGGCCCCCCGGCACACTGCCCCAACGCATGGTGCGCGACGCGATGATACGGAAGGGGAGGGGGGGGGCGGGGAGGAGGAGGCGGGGGCGAAGGACGAGGGCGGGGACGAGGGCGAGGAGGACCGAGCCTCGTCTGCCGTTGCCATTTTGGGCCAAGCCCCCCGAGGGTCGGTTGCGCTGGCTGGCCCTGGAGAGCGGCAGACTTTGCCGCGTGCCCAGGGACGTCCATTTGGGCCCCTCTTGGCATCGGCGTTCCTGGGCGGCCTGCGGGCCGCGGGTGCTACCAGGCCGGAGGACCCTGAGGCTCCCAAGGACCTCGGGAGTGGGGGGGCCCAGGGACGTGGAATCCACGCGTTTGTTCCGGACAATGTTCCGGACATGTGTTCCGGACAATGTTCCGGACAGGTTTGTTCCGGACGTTCTTCGTAGCCAACACAGCAACCAGCCGCAGGCTCACCGGCTGGCGCAGGACATTTTTTGGCACACAAGTGAGTCCGCACTCCGACGAGTCCCGCAACGTGCTACGTTGATCTGGTGTCTTGACGCAAATGGAACGGTGGCCCCTGAACTCCCTCATGTTGGCTTCGCTGGCGCAGATCGCATCCCAAGAGTTACTAACCATAACGGCGGCCAGCTGCTCAGTACTCTTCAATCCCAGCATTTGACGGCATTGAATACTCACGCCAGAAAGAGCGCCCATACAGGAACATGGCTTCATACGGACGGTATCACGTGGAATCAGATTGACTTCATTTGTACTCGGCTGCGGGGAGGAACTGGGTATTGTGCCAAAGTATTATCTTCACTCCCCGTTAGCCTTGGCGGCTACCGCGACCACCGACCACATGAGGTTCGGATCTCACCCAAGTTTAGGTGCCGCAAGACTCCTTCACCCCAGCTGCCAAAATGGAATCGAGACTTACTCCTTCATGACATGCGAACTACCTGCACGAGTCCAAGACTTTCGTGACAGGCTGCGTAGCGAGTTGCAGAATCGCCAAATTCGAGGCGACTGGCGCCAAGAATGTGGCCCAGGCTTTTTATTCCCACACCCATCTGCATACTACAATGCTCTCGAAGGCGCGGTTGTGGATGCCGCGTATGCTATTTATGTTGACAACCCTGCGACTGCTAAGAGACAGGAGTTGACAGAGGATACTCTCCAGCTGATTGGACGCAAACAGCACTTTCAACTAATGCTTTCTAGAGTGATAAACCAACAATCATGATTGTACAAATCAATTTTCTCTGAGTTTCGCCGTGCGGCGAAGATTGCGAGAAGAGCTGTCCGTTCTGAGAAGCGACAGCAAGTTGCGGCTCTGGTCGCCGATGCAGAGAGAGCGGACGCAGTTCATGACATTCGACGCTGCTACTCCATCATTAATAGGCTCGTGCCGAAGCCTAGGATGCCGATGCTGGTGGTCCGCAACCCCGCAACGGGTGACCCGTGTTTCGACGACGAAGAGGACCAGCAGGTCCGCACGGATGCGCTGTGCTCCATTTTCGAGGCCACAGAGTTGCCCATGGCCGACGACGGCGGACCCCAGGAGATCACTGATGCCCCCGATGAGGACCTCATAGGCCAGTACGACGCCAACGATGCGACCCAGGCTTTGGTGGGGGCCCCCAACTTCAAGAGCGCCCCAGTCCTCAAGTGGACGGACCCCGCCACCTCCCAGGCCCCACGACAGGACCCCGAAGGAGCTGCTGCCGAACTTTGGAAGCTCAGTACGGAGATTGTTGGAGATCCCCTTCTTGGAGTATTTCAGGCCGCGCAGGCTTATCGAAGAGCGCCCCAGGGTTTCAGAGACGGTGAAACAGTCTCCCTGAGGAAGCCCAAAGGTGACGGGTTGAGCGCCAAGGACCATTACAGAACCATCAACCTCATCGGCCATGCGGGCAAAGCTTTCACAAATGTGACCATTATGCCAGAATCGCGCCAGATGTCTCGTAAGTTGCCCATCGCGCAGTTTGGCGCGCTGCAAGGCCGTTCTACTCGCGATGCCATTGCTCTGGTCGACGAGGTCGGCAGACGTTTTCGTTCTAATCCTTGGCGTGCCCAGAACCCAGCAGTCATCCGCGTCTCGGCTTTGATTGACTTGGAGAAGGCGTCTGATTTGCTCGATCGGCAGCAGGCATGGCCCCCCCTCGAGAAACTCGCTTTGCCCCGACAAACTCGCTTGACAGTTCAGGAGCTAAATGACGGAACTTGTTCTATTATTAGGGATGCTCGCACGAATCGCCCATGTCGTCGGCTTCTCATTCGGAAGGGGGTTCGGCAAGGTAGCGCGGAGGGCCCAGGACTATTCATCGCGATGTATGACATGATTACCACTGATATCGGGGACCAAACGTTAGCCGCGGGGTTCAAGGGCGTCCAGGTTCAGTACGACCCCTCCTTCCAGGTTTTCAGGAATTCTGAGGACTTTGCGGCTATTGAATTATCCGTTCTAGACACGTCCCAGATCAAATTCGTGGATGACTTAATCACGCTGACTATCGTCGACGACTTCGACGCTGTCACCTCGTTCCTAGACTTCCTGAGGACTCAGGTTAATGCCAGCGGCCTGACCATGAACGTCCCAAAAACCGAGTTGATGTTGAGCGTTCCGGGAAGGGGCTGCATGAAACTCCGGCAACAGATTGCAAAATAGCAGACTGGCATCAACATGACCCACGTAGACATGCAGGTCTGCGCCCTGCACCCGACACCGACAGTTAAGTACCTCGGCTGCCTGCTCTCTGCCACTGGTTCCTACTCTCCCGAGATCAAGACTCGCCTCACCTCTGCGAATAAGGCGCACGGTCGTCTTGCCCAACGTGTTCTAAAGGGCAACCTCAGTATTCGTTTGAAGGTGCGGTTGTGGTGTTCGCTAGTTCGTTCGATCGCGCTGCACGCGCTGGAGGTAGCTTTCTTGACCCGAGCCGACCTGAAGAAGTCGGAACGATGGCAGACCCGCAAACTTCGGCATATTTTGCGGCCCCCCGCCCACATGCACCGCGTATCCAACTCGGATATTCGCAAGCGAGCCAACATCTTCAGCGTCAGCTCTACTCTGCTGCATCGTAGGCTTCAGTGGCGGCGGCATGTCATATCACCAGGACTTCTTACCCGAACCCCCAGACTACGACCCACGTTAGCTATACGTTCAGTTGTATTCGGGCAGCTTTCTTTCGAGGACTCCAGGTGCCGCACCCACTCCTGCCGAATTGGGCAACTCCTTTCGGATCTTCGGGCGCTTTGGGCTCGCATCCCAGCAGCAGACAAGGAGCGGGCACCGTCCGATTCGCCATGTGTTTCTCGTGACTGGCTGGAGTGGCTAGACATGCTCTCTGTTGCCGAGCTCAGGGCTGTCCTCTCACACGAAGCTGAGAGCGACTTGACGCAGGAGGCAGGGGAGATCGATGCCTCTCGACTTCTTGTGTGCCCAGAGCGTGGAAAAGGATGCAACGATCGGAAGGGGTTGGAGAACCGCAGGTTTGCGGTCCACTCGATTATTGCCAACCGTGTGAATATTCCTTGGTTTGACCTCAGTGCCCGCAGGTGCCCATACTGCTCCCAAGTATTTACCCGCAAGGACGCCTTGATCAGGCATAGTGAATTGAAACGTTGCCCACATCTCTCGGATCCGCAGCTTGTTCGGGCTCAGACGCCGCCATCGCTTTCAATTTCAGATCGACCTCCAACGACGGTAGCAGAGCCCAGTATCTCGGGGGGAGATGTTCATTCCCGCGGCCGAGCTGGTCAGGAAACGAGACGCGGGCGAGGCAGGAGTCGAGAGCACCAAACCGACCGCCGACACCGAAGTTGCTGGCATCTCGAAGAAGGACCGCTTGATGACCAAGCTTCTGCTCCAGCACGCGGACAACTTTCGGGGCTCGGCGAGAGACCAGAACGCGGTGGTTCGGCTCCGAGCCGGTTCTCAGATGCAGGTGGCGCTGGAGTCGAGCACGTCACATTACCAGAAGGCAGGGAAGGAGGCCAGGGACACGGTCGCGGCCGCCGACTACCGCGGCCACCCTCTCGGCAAGAAGCCCGATGCGTACCTCCGCATGCTGTTGTTCAGATTGAGCGAGGCGGTGGGGGACAGACTCGAAGAGGTCAAGGCCGCAGTGGCCCAGGGCGCCAATCCACAGAAATCAGCCTTGGCGTTGATGACACTCGTGGAGTTCGGGAAGAGCCTCAAGGATCCCGAAGTGAAACTCAAAGCGACGAGGTGCTTCGACGCGAGAGTGACAAAGACGATCGACGGAAAAGAAGTGGAGGAGGCCAAGTGGATATTCGCTGCTATGTCGCACCCCGCGGCGACGTCAGCGTTGCATGTCCTCAAAGCCAACGGGGGGGTGAAGTCAGCGAGTCTGATCTTAGAGGACGACGAGGCTCCACGGTCCAAGACTGCCAAGGAGCTCGAGAAGATGATATTCAAGGGGGGAGGAGACGGGACCCACGGAAAGCAGAAGCGCCCGAAGAAGAAGTGAGACCCCGTGCAGGCCCCAGCAGATCCCAGTCGATAGGTGACATTCGAAACTATTCCCAAGTTCGTGGGCATGGCTCCGAGGGGAGCTAGCTCTGTTGTTTTCTTTGATGAGGGCCCGCCTTTACACTAGAGGGCGTTTTGGCGGCCGCTCTCGTAGTGCCATCCCCTCAGAGGAGGGGGTGCTCGAGCGCGGGGTCATGGGTCCCGCGTACGTGCTCACTCCTCTGGCCCTCTACCTCGTAGTGCTTTGCACTGTTGAGGTTGCGCCGTGTATACGGTTGGTTTTGTGACGGGCCCGACGCTAGACATCCGATTGATTTGTCTAGGGCGTTGCGCTGGTATATATATATATATATATATATATATATATATATATATATAACAAAAAAAAAAAAAAAAAAAAAAAAAAAAAAAAAAAAAAAAAAAAAAAAAAAAAAAAAAAAAAAAAAAAAAAAAAAAAACGATCGCGGCCCAGCCAGCAGAAGGCTTGCGGAAGCATCCCTCTTTAAAGGTTCAAAGTGCAGGGGCTGATGGGGTCGGAGGATCGCGCCGCATCAGCGATGCATCTGCGATGTGGCGCGATTTTGAGTCCGCGGCGATGCGACACGATCCTCCTACAGTCAAGACGCTGGAATAAGGACCGCTTTGGGTTTGGCAGGAGCTCGCTGATCCTTAGGTCCTTCAGGGGCTGTTCCTCTAGCCCTTCTCGTGCACGCAGGTGCTTTGGGGGCGATCCTTATTGCGGCAGTCTGGCTCTACCCCGTCTGGTCCGTCCCCATCTGGGAGGTCTTAATTCTTCCCCCTGCGACGACATTTTGACGGAGCGTTCTTCGTGAGTTTCGGCCTCCCGGGGGCCCTCCGCTGGTCCATGGCAGAGGTCGCGCGGGGAAGCGGCTCGGGGCGACGGATCCGTCCCAGGGGGGGGGGGGGGCCTCTGGGCGGGAGGGTGTGCTGCAGCACTTGTCTGCTGCCGGGTCTCCTCGGCTCAGGCTGGCTGCACCGGCGCGTTCATCCCGAAGTTTTTTCCGAGGTGAGTGTTTTCCTCCCACGCTTTTTATTATTACTATTATTATTAGTATTATTATTCTTATTATGTTATTATTACTGTTAGTATTATTATTATCATTATTATTATCATTATTATTAGTATTATTATTAGTAGTAGTAGTCTTATTAGTATTAGTATTATTATTAGTATTATTATCATTAGCATTATTATTATTATTCTTATTATTATTATTATTATTATCATTATTATTATGATTATTATTATTATTATTATTATTATTCGTCTTCTTCTGATTGGCCTCGCAGACTCAAATCTGATCTAGAATCTTTCCGTATGCCTCCCACGCGTTGGGAACGTGGACTCGGCTTTGCTAACCCTCAGCTGTGAGGCTTGGCCCAAAGAGCCTACGGAAGAGCACTGAGTGATTGCCGCAGCTGTTTGCCGCGGCCGCCCCTCCCCGCCTTCTCGTCTCTTGCTGCTGGTTGATGAGTATGCCGCCACGGCTACTAGAGCGCGCGTGCGGATCGCCTCTGCCACGCCTCGACGGGAAAATGTGTTGCAGCATTTGTGATGCACTTTGGACGTAAATGCGTGCTGCAGCGTTGTTGATCTATGTTTGGTGTTCGCCTGGTCATCGGAGTGGAAATACCGATACCGCTACCCGTCCCTCGTCGGCACGGCTGGATTCGCTTCGAAATCCTGGCAAGGACGGACCCCAGTCTGAGATCTAGGGAGAAGCGGTATCAGTAGATTTCTATTTCTCCAGGTCCTCTTTTTAATATTCCTCCTCATCCTCCCGACTGACTTAGCAGTCAGAGTTTGCACAAGCCTCGCGTGTCTTACATGCATGTCCATCGGCGTCGCCAAGAGCCGGCGCATGCCCCTACACTCAATACGCCATGCGGCGCTCGCCAGTCGGTAAGAAAGGCGGCGCCCCCAAAGAACCCCATATGGCGCGCCCCAGAAAGAGCCTTGCATTCGAGGATCGAGGGAGTTGGCATCCCTTCCTGGGCAGAAGGCGCCAGAAGGGCGGCGGAGGCCAGCGGAAGTAGAACGAGGGCAGCTCCGCTGGCGGAAGTTGGCGAAAGGTTGGCGGAAGCCGGCGGAAGTAACAGATGTACCCTTGAGAGATGGCAGCATGTTTGGGTTTAGGATTTGTGGAATCGGCCATATAGCCTTCATGGAATTTCTTCCCCTCAGCCCACTCCTGATGCCATGAACGGCCGCCCGGCGGGAGGGGGCCTTGGTCCACAGCGCTGACGGCGGGCGAATTCTTGTACCTGCTAGCGCAGGCGGCTTCACCGCATGCAGACCCGGAAGCGAAAGGGGAGTAGGCTGTTGGGCGTCGCGTAATGGGGGGTGCGATATAATGGAGGGGCAGCGAGGGTTGTAGAAAAGGGGCGTTATAGGGTCCCATAAAGGAACTCTTTAGGGCCCAAAAGGGGGCCTCTAGGGCCCGAAAAGTGTACCTCTTCCCCCCTCATTGATCGTCCCCCATTAATTCACGCTCACGGCTGAGGAGAAAAAGAGAATGCAGGATAAGGGATAGGGCTTCGAGGATGAGGCTAAGGAGGAGAAAGAGCAGGATGAGACGTAGTAGGATGAGTTTGAGGTGGACGGGGAAAGAGATGATCGAAGGAGGATGAGGAGGAGGAGGAGGAGGAGGAGGAGGAGGAGGAAGAGGAGTCGTGGTACAAATAGGAGCTCGGGGAGAAGGGTGGCATGGAGGAGCGCGGGGAGTTCGAGGAGGGGAAGGAGGAGGAGGAGGAGGAGGAGGAGGAGGAGGAGGAGAAGAAGACGGAGGAGTGGGAGGCCACAAGTTCCCGAGTAGAGCAGAAGTGGGCCGTGCACAGCGATAATAGAGGCCTCAGCCCACTGCCCCTCCCATCCTTCCCTCCTCCCCCCGCCCCCTCTTTTCCGCCTCCCCCGCCCTCTCTGGCCCTGTGTCCCCCCTGTGACATTCCGCATATGTTCCTTTCTCTTCCTCCCCTCCTCACCCCCCGCAAACACACACACACACACACAATCCATTCCTCCTTCCATTATTTCCCTCTCTTTAGTTGTTGTTCTCTATATAGGTATATATATATATATATATATATTATATATACAGATATATATATATATATATATATATATATATATATATTCTGTTTTCTATATTCCTATCATATGGGACCCAGCGACCCCCCCACCTAAACGGGACCCCTCCGGATCCTTGGCCCCAGGGGCACCTTGGATGCCCTTGCAAACGGTCCTTTGTGTTTTCTGAGGCTCCTGAAGCCCGTGCTGGGCCTAGGCAACGGACCCAACTCAGTCAGAAGGGCGGCCGGACGGCCCCGCGAGAGCCCACAGAGGCCCCAGACACCCACCAGACGCCCCAAGACGACCGAAAGAGGACCCCCAAAAACATTGATTTTCTGTGGTTTTTTGTATGATGCTGGGAATGCTCAGTTCTTCGGTCTTCGGGCGTCCGAGACCTCCCAGGAGGCCAGAGAGTCGCCCCAAGTTTAACCAAGAGGGCTTCCAGGCAGTCCAAGAGGAGCCCCAAGACGGCCCAACAGGCCCCAAGAGGGCCCCAAGATCCTTCCCGAATCATTCCAAATCGCGACGCGGTCGTCCAGGGAGATCGCGATTGGAAGCAGGGTGGCCTGGGGAAACCCCCAGAGGCCCGCAGAAGGCTCCCAGGAGGCTTCCAGAAGGCCCCAACAAGTCGTTCACAATGTTCGTGAAGTTTACCAGAGACTCCTAGTATGAGCCTCCGCAAAAAGAGCTGAGGATGGGGAAGGACTCGCAGGGTAGGGCGAGAATGAGGAAGAGGAGGAGGAAACATGAGGTAAGGATAACCAATAAAATGATGACAACGACGATGCCAGAATAGGCAACAACGAGTGATCGCTAAATGATCCGTTTTACCGTATTGCCCTCTTGTCTGCATGCCAAACCTCAAAGACCACAGTGCATGACGCGAAGCACCAATGCAGTCGTGTGTGTATACACACAAAGATAAATAAACGCATAAATATCAGAGTGAAGGGGGCGAACGGTCATTAACTGTCCCTGGGCGTGTCGCTGAATTGGGTTTCTGCGGTGCGGTTTGTTGTTGGTGGTATGTGTTCTTGGTGGTGGTTTAGTTGATGATGATTTCGTTGGTGGTGTTGTTGGTGGTGGTGGTAGTGTTCGTAGTGTCGTTGTTGTTGCTGGTGTTGGTATTGTTGTTGTTGCTGTTGTTGTTGCCGTTGCTGTTGCTGTCGCTGCTGCTGTTGTTGTTGCTGTTGCTGTTGCTGTTGCTGTTGCTGTTGCTGTTGCTGTTGGTGCTGTAGTTGTTGGTGTTGGTGGTGTTGTTGTTGGTGTTGTTGGTGTTGTTGGTGCTATTGGCGTGGTTGTATGTTGTCGTTGTTTGTTGTTTGTTGTTTGTTGTCGTCGTCCCCCCCGCGACCTGGCCCGCGACCCACCCGCGACCCACCCGCCACCCACCCGCGACCCACCCTGCGACCCACCCGCGACCCACCCGCGACCCACCCCATGACCCGCCCGCGACCCACCCGCAACCCAACCGCGACCCACTTGCGACCCACCCGCGACAAGGCCCGCGACCCACCCGCGATCCACCCTTCGACCCTCCACAGTGCTTTAACGAAAAAATCTGCGCTTTCGGCGGGCTCACTGCATAAGTTATAAAAGTCAGGCGCTTGCGGCGGGATTCTTCAGAACCTCGCAGACTGCAGACGTCCTCGCCGCCTCCTCACTCTTATCCGCAACTGCGAGGTTTTACGTATGTGTATATATATGTATGAATATAAATATATGTATGTCTGTGTATATATATATATGCGCATGTGTGCACGCAGATCCCTCCCACTACCTCATCATCTCTTCCACGTCGCCCTCACCCTTGCTCAAACCCGTTTCTCCTGCCCCAGAACCACCGTTGGCGAAATCCCAATCCAACCAAGCAGCCGCTGCCTCCCCTCGGGTCCCCCCTGCCTCTGCCATCCCTCCCGCCCCCTCCCCGTGCCTCTGTCACCCACCCGCTCCGCGTCCACCCGTCTCACTCTGACCATCCCTCCTCCCATTGCCCTCTCCACCCGTCACCCCCTCGCCCAACACCCCCTTAACTCTCTCCCGTCCCCCGTGGCCATGGGTTGGCGTCCCAGACATCTTCGGAAGGTTAGCTGCCGTATCAGGGGTTTTGGATCGACCATCAATTGGCAGCTGCCGGCGCTACAGGGACGTTTCTTAATGTTGGGTCAGTCTGTGCCTGTCCAGGTGTGTCCCGACTTCCCGGCCGACATCGTGAAGGAGGACCCAGGGGATGCGCATCAGACCGAAGGAGAAGGAGAAGAAGGAGGAGGAGGATTGCGAGGAGGAGGAGGACAACAGGACAGCAGCCATGGAAGGACTCGCCACCTTTTTTTGTCGCTCAGCAATCTCGCTCCAGCATCGCAGCAGATCCGACTGCACTCGCGTTGTGGAATGATGTCGGTTGCCATTGCTTTCGTAGTCGGGCTCGCGCTTCGGCACGCATACCGATACAGGCGATCGGATGCAGTGATCGGCGATCAATTGGCGGGTTTGGGTTGCCTTTTGGGGTGTTGCGAGAAGCCTGTGTGATCAAAGCCTGGACAATGCAGCCCCTCATTCGCCTCCTCGTCCTCTCCCTCGGCCTACATATCCTCGTCCCTGCAGCTCCTTCTACTCATACCCAAAGCAGTGCTTGTACTTAGGAGCGTCTACTTGTGTATCCAAGGAACTGGATGGGTCAGGCGAATGTCCGCCACGTTGCCACCCGTTGCCGCCTCGTTGCCGACCCGTGCGTTGTGTGGGTCTGGCGAAGTCTCCCCAAGTTGCCGCCCGTTGCCGCCTCGCTGCCGCCTTGCTGCTTCCTCGTTGCCGCCTCGTGCGCTGGGTGGGCCCGGCGAGGTTTCACTACGTTGCCGCCCGTTGCCTCCTCGTTGCCGCCTCGTGCGCTGGGTGTGTCCAGAGTGGTTTCGCCACGCTGCCGCCCGTTGATGCCTCTTGCTCGCAACACGTACCGCATAGCTTGCACATCCACTATGCAGTAGTTTGCTGCTTGGTGCCCACGCTGGCTAACAGTCTTGTGATTTGTCAAAGCCATTATCATCAGATGGGCTTATCTCACCATAACCTATCCTGGTCCTGGTCCTGGTGTTCCTCGCCCTCTTGGGAGACGGGGTCGGGCTCAAGAGCGCCAACCGCCAGGTCTTCGAGGACCTCCACGAGTGGTGCACCCGCCTCGACGAGCCATTCGTCATCGGCGGCGACTGGAACGTGGAGTCCAGCGAGCTCGCCGACTCTGACTGGCCCGAGCTCGTTGGCGGCGCCGCCGTGGCGCCAGGCACGGCCACCTGCAACGATAGCGAGCACGCCGACTTCGTCATTTCCACAGAACTGGAGGACATGGTCGGCTCCATCAGAGCCCACTTGGACACTCCCAACGGCCCCCAAACAGCAGTCACGCTGGTGTTGCGAGGCTGCTGGCAGCGGCCCCAGGTCCAGACCCAGCGGGCGCCCAAGTGCTTCCAGCTGGACCGCGGTTTCGGCATTGAGGCCAGGGACAGAACAGACGCTGCGGCGGCCGCGCTGCCGTGGCCCCTGCCCGATGAAGGCCCCGAGGGGCAGGTCCAGGGATGGTTCAAGCAAGCGGAGGAGGTGTTTCAGGCATTGCATTCCACGCCCAACAGCGAAGCTCCTTACTACAAGGGCAGGGCCAAGGGTTTCAGGCCGGTCACCGTCCCGCTGGAGGCTAAGGTCCAGGCCAACCGCATGGACAGGGCCTCGCCTGTCACGCAGCTTTGGCTCTCGCTGCGCCACCTCACGAAGCGCAGGTGAGACCTCCGCCCAGGAGGGGAGCCAGGCAGTTACACAGCCAGGCGTGGCGAGCAGTTCCGCGCCGCTGCCCAGAGGCTGGTGCTGAGCTCCCAGGCTCAGGACATCAGCATGTTCGACGGCACGGTCTTCGACAGCTTCTGTGACGACATCACCCACCAGACGGCCACGGGCGGCCAGCTCCTTGCCATGATCAGCCAGATCGTGGACAACCGCACTAAGGAGGACCCTAAGGCCAGCAAGCTGAAGTGGGACGAGTTCACCGATGAGGCATTCGAGCGCCAGGGCTCCATTGCCCACAAGGTCTCCAAGAAGGCCCACGGCGAGCCTGCGCCCATGCTGGAGCGGCGGGCGGCCGACCTTGCGCCAGGTGGCCAGCCAGCGCTAGAGAAGGTGCCGGCGGACTGGCTCTCATTCTGGGCCAACCCCCACCGCGACGCTCAGGAGCACCTGGCCTCTTGGCGGGTCAGTGGTTGGTCGCTGCAGCATATGGCGGTGGACGATATCAAGTTGGCGGCCCGCAAGTTCCCAAGCACACAGGGTTGCGGTGTAGCAACACCCGAGACTCCTGTTGAAGGTCGGCGACAATTCGCTGTTCAGCTTAGCCAGCCTGCTCAACGCTTCGAAGCGCAGCCCCTACTGAGGCGAGCTCTGGACCGTCACCATGGCCTTAATGCCGAAACTTGACGGCGGACAGCGGCCCATTGGGCCACTGCCGCTGCCGGCCAGGATCTGGTCGCGCATCCGCCAGAAGGACTGCTCGAGGTGGGAGCGAACCATCGCCCAGTCAGCCTTTTGGGGCACTTCCTCGGCTTGGGGCTGCGACAAAGCGGCTTGGCTTCATAACGTCTTCGCGACCCGCGCCATGGACTCCCGGAGGAAGCGGCCTCCTTCTACATCGATCTCCCCAAGTACTACGAACACATCGGACACGAAGAGCTTCGGGTCGCCGCTCAGGCCGGGGGCTGTGACACGGGCCTGCTCAGGGCCTTCCGCTGCACATATTTGGCCCCGAGGAGGGCGCGCATCGGCACGCCTGCGCGAGGCCATTAGCCAACGGCGCGGTAGTTGCTGGCTGTTCCTGCGCCAACGCCCTGGCCAAGCCCACCCTGGTCTCCGCCCTGCGAGCGGCGGCGGCGGCCCGATCGCCAGGGTGCTCAACGCGGCGGGCGACGTCTCGGGGCCGCCCACCGCGGCGGCGCAGCAGCGGGGGGCCACGCGCAGAGCCTCCTGCACCCAGGTGGAGGAGGCCCGCCTGCCGCTGAGCAGGCACAAGACCGAGGCGCCGGCCACCAGCAAGGCCTTGCGCGATGCCCTCATACGATAGCCGGGCTGTGACCTCGGGCCAGAGGACTTCGCGGACTGTCAACGCGACCACGGAGGCGACGCCACGTCGGGGCCACGCCGCAAAGCGACCACGACGGCAGGCCGCGAGAGGCAGGCCAAGGCCCGAGGACGGAAGCTCCCAAGGCTCTTCAGGCCAGGGCTGGATCGCGCCCGCGTCTACTGCAGAAGGACGACGGCCAAGGCCGCGCGGAGCTCCGCCACCACGGGGGCCCCGACGTTCGGCTCCGCCAGCCGCGAGTGGGCGCCGTCAGCGCGCGAGGCCGCCTGCCGCAAGGTGCGGCCCCGGGGCTGGCCAGCCTCTCCCAGTGGAATGGCTGGAGGCGCGACACGCGCAGAGATGGCCTGGGCCCCCCTGCTGCCTGACGCGGCCGCCCGCGCCCGCCTGGCCTGGGGCCTGGCCATCCAGCTGGCGAAGCACCCTTGGCGCCTGGCAGGGGAGCCGATCAGAGCGCCGGACCTCACGCGGGGCTTCGCCCAAGGCGACCCGCGCAGATTCCGCGACGCCGAGGGCGGCGAGCACGACGCACGGAGGCATTCGCCCGCCTTCTTCCGCCACGCGGGCGCGGTCGACTGCCGCGCGGCGATTGGGCTCGAGGGGGCGGCCAGGCAGGGCCCCAGCACGAGGGGCTGGAACGCCCCTCCTTTCTGGCAGCCGATCCTGGACCTCGCATCGCTCGACGGTCAGGGGCGAGCACCACCAGCAGGCCCCGCGCTGCCTGGCCCACCTTCTGGCGCCAGGCCAGGGCCGGGGCGACGGGCCCCTCGGCCCCGACAACTGCCTGCCGCACCGCTTCAGGGGCAGCCACCTACACCACGGGCGCTTCAAGTTCGAAGCCCACGATGGATGGAGACCCGAGTTCCTTGTCTCTTCGCCCAAGCAAGCCGCTGGCGCAGTCGAAGGCTCGGGCCACCCATTCACGGAACTGTTGGCGGGGGGGTCATCGTTGACATATCTGAGCTCGGCTGCGGCGGCCCGTGGGCGGCTTCTCCCAGCGCCCCGCCGGCCGGCTCGAGCTCGGGCCCCACCTGCACATCTTCGTGGACGGCTCGGGCGTGGACCAGGCCCACCCCAACCAGCGCGCCGCGGGCTGGGCCGTCGCGGCCCACGACGCGGAGCGCAGGCGCCGAGGCTTGAGGAGCGGCCCCGCTCGGCGACAGGCCGGAGCAGCTGGCCAGAGACGGCGAGGACCACGCAGTGAAGGCGCTCACGGACACCGCGGCTGGAGGAGCCCTCCGCCCGCGCATCGACTGCCCGCCCACCGCGCGCCGCGCGGCCTGCCCCGAGGCCGCGGCACCCCCCGGGAACCAGCGGGCTCGCATCTGGGCTGGGAGGGCAGAGCAACTCCAGCAGGCCACAGCAGTCAAGTCGAAGGCCCACCTGGACCAGACGGCACCGCGCAACGGCCTGATCACGCAGTTCGAGCTGGACGGCGGCGACCGCGCGGACAGGCGGGCCGAAGAGGGCGCGACGGCCGCTGGAGCGCCCCTGGCCGACGTCAAAATGCTCGACGGCTGCCGGGCGATCGCTCGCCAGGCGGCGCAGCGCGCGGCCTCGCCGGAGGCCCGCGTAGCCCAGGCCGGGCGCGCGGACTCCGCAGGCGCTGGCGCGCCCCAGTTGATCGACTTGGGCGAGACGCCTGCTGGCGAGTCCGACGACGGAAACGGCGCCCCCGCGGCCGGCTCCCTCTGCCCCGACGGGAGCCAGAGGGTAGCCAAGACTGACGGCACCCTCAGGTCGCGGCGCGCGAGCGGGCACGCTTTGCTCGCGGCGCCGTGCTCCGCCAGTGAGAACGAAAGAACGGCGACCAAGTCCAACGCCGCCCTTCTCTTCTGCACCACCTGCGGAAGACATATTTCTGACGAGGAGCGCCGAGGTTTCAAGGCCGCCCCCCAGTGCCATCGCGAATCGCAGCGCCATAGCCAGGCATTGCAAGCACCCAAGAGCGGCAAAGGGCTGCCAGGTAGCCTTAGGTCGCCCTCGAACCCGAAGACGGTTTCTGGATGGGGCATTTCCCCACGGGTGCTCCGAGGTAGCCCGAAAGAGTTCCCGGACCGACTGCCCGAAGAGGCCGACCGCCACAGAGGCTTCGCCGCCCTTCGGGCCCCAGCCGGCCCTGGCCCAGCGGTCGGGGTCGAAGGCCCTAGAGGCCAGAGCCGAAGCCCTCGCTCCCAAGCAGAGGGCCCAGGCGGCCAAGGGCCCCAATTAGTGGCCCAGGGGATCCCCCAGACGCCTGGTCCAAGCCCCGCTGCGCTTGCACCCTGCGGCCGTCGGGTTTTCGCGGGGCGACAAGGCGAGGTGTTTTCTTCGCGGGTGATCGCTGCGCGCAGGAGCGAGGGCCAGGGTCGCGGGGGGTCTCTCGGTTGGAATTCGCGCTGCAAGACCTTGTCTAACCTCCTTCTCTAGATGGGAGCATTACGAAAGTAGACAATAGGTCCGCGCACCCCTCCAACGCCATGAACTACATTGAATTGTGCTCCAGATGGCGGTGTACAACATGCGGCTGTCGAGCTAGATAGAGCGCCCGACGAGGGGTGAAAAGGCCTTCTTCATGATTGTAGACCTCCGGCCACAAACGGTAAGCGAGTGATTCCTTGCCTCTCCAACGGCAAAGATGCGCCCCACCGAAGGCCAGAGTGCCATGGCCCCCACCAGGCGCACGTCACCGGGCACCTCTCCACATCGTCGCCGCCGAATTCTGCCGAATTCTCCCCCCCCTTCCTTCGCCCCCCTCCTCCTGCCCCGCCTCTCCCCCCCATCTCCTCCGCTCTCGCCCCCCCCTCGCCCCTGCCCCCCCCGAAACCCCCTTCGACAGCCGCGCCCCCGAGGCCCCCCGACGCCGCGCCCCCCGAGGCAGCCCCGCCCGAAAACGGCATGCAGAATAAAAGGTAAGATCACCCCGGCAGAGCACGGCCACGCGCACCATTGTGCACTTTTGCAAGGGGTCGCGGCCGCCTTGGTCGAAAATGCAGGCAACGCGCGGGGCGGGAGCACAACTCCTGGATCAAGTGCGCGGGGGTCTCGGGCGAAGCGGCCGCCGGGCGGCGCGGCCTCGGCCCCCCGCCCCCCCCGCGCGGGAATTTCCCCCGAGGTTCTTGCAGCCGCGACTGGAACCCTTTTCGCAAGACGCGCCGCGCGCGGTCGGGGGCCTTCAGGGAGCGAAGGTTTCCGGGATGTGCCGCAGCAGGCTCGTCGTAGAGCTGGAGGTGCCTCCGTCGGCCGCGCATGCGCTCGCGCTCTCGCGAGTTCGCTGGCCGCCATTCGACCCGATCCTGCGCCTCGCGCTGCGGGGCAAATAAAAAAGCAACACGCAACAAACAGCATCAGCAGCAGCAGCAACAGCAACAACAATTGCAAGACTGCGCGTTCCGATCTGCTCGCGCGCCACTCAACGTGCGCACCGACAATCGTCGGCACCCGCCTTTTTCGTCTTCGATCGCGCCCCCCTGGCTGCACATCTCCCTCACCTGCCGCGCGCGATGCGCGCGGCCCCTAGAACAGGGGAAGAGCGGACGGATGGAGAGGGGAGGGAGACAGATGGAGCACAAGAATAACAGCAGGGGGGCGGGGGGGGCGGAGCAGACAACGCGCGGCAGAACCTGGTGGGCAGATCGGGCGGGTAGACCCGAACGGGCGGATCGGGAAGGCGGGCCCCGTCGGCCAGGTCAAGAAGGCGGGTTGTTGAAGCGCGCGTCCGGCATAAATCACAGGGGAGTTTCGAGCGATAGCGCGATTCCCATGTGAGTCGCGAGAAAAGCCAAAGCCAGATCGCCATCCCCAAGCGTCGAGGGCGCGGCGCATGAATAAATTCCGAAGAAGTACCGCGCGAGCTCGATGTTGGAAGACATGGTGAGAAAGTATCGGGCGGCAGCCGTTGCCGCTGCAGTTTCGGCGCCAGGGGCCAGTTTGCCCCGAGTGTTTTTCCCCGACGAAAAGTGGGCGCGAGCCCTGGAAGGGGGCGTTTCAGTTGAAAGATGCGATATGCGCCGGAAGGGGATCAACAGTATTTAGAGAATTTAACAACAGCAACAACAAGTTTAAACTTGTTCGGTCTCATTTACGCGCGCGTCATTCAAAGAGTCTATCCCACGCCCTCGACACCCGCATTCTGCGTCTTCGATCGCCCCCACTCTGGGAGTACATGTTCCTTCCTCGCCGCGCGTAAGTAGCGCGGACGCTAATGCAGGGGGAGGAGGAGAGGGCGGCTGGAAGGGGGAGAGAGAAGGATGGACCACAGGATTAGCAAAAGGGGGGCGAGGAGCAGAAAACACATGGCTGAACCAGACGGGCTGATGGGGCGGGCTAAACCCTAACAGGCGCGTCGGGAAGGCGGGCCCAAGCGGCCAGGTCGAGCAGGCGGGCTGCTGAAGCGTGAGTAGCGCATGAATCGCGAGGAGGTTTCGAGCGATGGCCCGCTTCGCAAGAAAAAAGCCAAAGCGAGAGCGCGCTACCCGGGAGTCGAGCGCGCGGAGCCTGAATAAAGTGGAGGAAGTTCCACGCGAGAGCGCGACTCCTGCACGTATTGTGAGGAAGTCCCACATCGAGAGCGCGAGCGTGAGATTTGGGATGGGAAGCTATCCGGCGGGAGCCGCTGCCGTTGGAACTCGGGGGCCAGAGGGGGGCAGCTTGTCCCCGATAAGCAGCCAAGTGCGACCCCTGGGAGGGCCACGTCAAGTGGATAAATATAATGCGCGCCAGAGCGGGGGGGGGATCAAGCACAATTATTCGCAGTAAGTGAGACGACAACAACAACAATGTTCAGGCCGTTCGCTTGCATCTGCTCTCGAGACATTCAACACGGATATCCCAAACCCTCGATGCCCGCCGTTTTCGTATTCGGTCGCACCCTTCTGGAAGCGCATTTACCTTACCTGCCGCGCGCAACTAGCGGAGCCCCTAAACCAGGAGAAGAGAGGACGGATGGAAGGGGGAGGGGAAAAATGGAGCACGAGAGAAATGAGCAGGAGGGGGGCTAGGAGCAGAAAACACATGGCTGAACCAGACGGGCTGATCGGGCGGGCAGACCCTGGCGGGCGGCTCGGGGAAGCGAGCCCAGGCGGCCAGGTAGAGCAAGCGGGCTGCTAAAGCGTGAGTCCTGCATGGATCGCGAGGAAGTCTCGAGCGATGACGCGATTCTTATGTAAATCGTGAGAAAGGCCACAGCGAGAGCTTGATTGCTGAGTGTCGACGGCGCAGCGAGATGCTTGATTCCACGCGAGAGCGCGATTCTTGCATAAATTGTAAGGACTCCCCGCGCGAGAGCACGATTTTGAAGTACACTGTGAGGAAATATCAGGCGGGAGCCGTTGTTGTTGTAAACCTGGGGTCAGGGGCACAGTTTGGTGATACCTGGCGTCCCTTGTTTGAAATAGGGTGCGGACCCCAGGAGGAGCATTTGAATTGAAACATGCAATAATTATCGGAAAGGGGGGACCCACAAGAATTACGTCTTAGAAAAGCGAATTCCACAACAACAACAACAACAACAATCATTTTACCCGAACGCGTGGTGTTCTCCCCAGTGCCAGGGTTTTCATACGACACCAGGCAATACCCCCACTTCGTGGGGGGGCATTACAAGCTCTACCAAATATCCAAACGACTCTTCGCGACCACCCAAACCCAGCTTCCCGCCCTATGACGTTGGGACACTTCACTTCGTGGCGTGCGGACGACCGTGGCTACTACACTGGCGTGGGGTACACACCCACAGAACCCAATGGTTTTTGGAGATTTCGGCGTGCGCGCGCGAAGAAAAAACGAATGTGTCCCGCATGGTATTATTTGACAGGGATGATGGCCCTGGCAGGTGCGCAACCGTTGTCGCAGAAGTTCGAAAAAGTTGCTCGCAAAAGCCCGTTTGACAGAAATGTTTAAAAAGTGTTGGGTTTCCTACGAATCCGCAAGAGCGCGCGGGATGAGATTTTGACATTTTTTTGTTGAAAAACCATTGGTTTTTTGATGTTTTTATGTTAAAATCGCTCCGAACACTAAGCTTTTGGAAGGATTTCGTCTTGCGCGCGCGAATGTCCACTTTACCTTATTTTTTGCAAGGGATTCTTGAAATTTGATTATATTAGAACAAGAAATGTCATTTTATAGTGTTTTTTGCAAGGGAAAGCGGGGGGGAACAAAACAACCGGATCTTGATCACATCGAATTACCTGAGGCTTCCTCACGAAAATGATGAAAATGTAGCTGCGGCCTAGGCGCGGCGGGGGGGGCGTGCACCAGGGGGCCCAACAATAATTATTCTTTAGAATTAATAATGTTCAACAACAACAACAACAACAACAACAACAACAACAGCAGCAACAACAACAACAACCACAACAACAACCATGAAGTTGAGATTGTTCGCTATCACCTGCTCGCGTGCCATTCAACACGTATATCCCAAACCCTCGATACCCGCCCTCATCCTCCTCGATCGTACCCCATTGGGGATATATATATATATATATATATATTATCTGCCGCGTGTAATAGGCGCAACCCCTGAAACAGGGGAAGAGAGGCCAACTTTGAGACCCGAGGTTGCGACAAAAATGCAACACCGTGAAAAATCACGACCAGAGCCCTAGACCCCATCGTTCTGCTGCATTCGTCGAGCCGGCTCGATCTGTGATGGCTCTGGTCGGGAGCCATGAGACGGGGGTCAATGCAAACGGGGGTCAGCCAGGGCACCGGATCCTGCAGGATCCTGCGAAGACCCCTTTGGCTGACCTGGGTTAGCGAGCCGCTCGTGGCCGCTAGGCGGCCGCGCGTATCGGTTGACCCGGGTTTGCGAAGACCTGCGCTGCAGTTTTTTTTCCTGCATTGCAGTTTTTGGTCTCCTGCTGACCCAGGTCTGGATTGACCCGGGTCAGAAAATCCCCGACCTAGGGCACTAGACCCGGAGAAAACGCCCCTGGTGAAAAAGTTGCAACGCCCGGATCTCAGCGAGTACAGCCAAGATGCGGGAAGAAGAACTGGTTGGGGTTCTCTGGACGCCCGAAATGGGAACGGAAAGAATGGGCACAATGCCCAACAGCAGTTCCTGTTCATTCTGCACAGGACTCGCTGCCCACGCCGCCGCGGCCTGTGTACATTCGAGACAGAAGGCCGCCTGCCCAACGGCGGCCGCTGCTGGTTTGGGACACCATTCGCTGTTGGGCATTGTACCCATTTTTCCGTACCCATTTCGGGCGTCCAAAGCTGGAAGAAGGACTGGTTGGGGCTCGGGAGGGGCTCGCTGTTCCCCAGGTCCTTCCATGGCTGTGCCTCTGGCCCTCCTCGTGGACTCGGGCGCCTTGGAGGGCCACAGAGGGCCTTCGTTCCTCCTGTACGGTTGGGTTCGTGCGGGGATGGCGCGCCGGCGACGCTGGCGAAGGCTTTCAATCTGGGGTGGACAACCCCCACCCTGACACGTCGATTAGTGAATTGTCCTTTTTCGGTTCTCGAGAGGGCGCCGCGGCCGTCATTTTCCAGGCTTGCGCCCGCCAGGTTTGGGCCCGAGGTCGTTTTCACTTAACCACGTTTTACTAAAGGGGGTTCTGTCCATCCCCGATTCAAGGCTGTTCTGCGAGGCGGAAGCACCGAGGGGCACGGTGACGCCATTGGACCCGACGGAGTTCAACCTTGAACGATCTGAGCCGCGATCGATGCAGGGTTGAACGATCGACGCAGTGTGACAAACCTCTGCTCGCGCAGACGCCGCACGAGCCTAACGCAGCGCTCCCTCTGGCAAGAGCTCGACTGCACGTCGGCTGTCCTGGGCCTCGTCGGAGAACTGGGCTCGCCCCGCTCGTGCCGCGAAGAGCCCCGCCGGCCCCCTTAATTAGCGAGGCCGCCCGCGCGGCCGCGCGGGGGGCGGCCAGGCGGCGGAGCACGCCGAGCCGGCGGAGCCCGGGGAGCACCGCGCGTTGGGCGAGAACCCAGGCCTCCCATCGTCGGGGGCGGAAAAGAGGGGGGTGATGACTAGGGGGAGGTGGATATCATGGCGGGGGCCATGATATTTCCCCAGATTTCAGGGCGCCTCTTCTTGTTTCATTACGTTCCCGGCCCCCCCGCTGGGCCGCGCACATGCAATCGGCCATGATTTGCACCCCCCCCTCTCTTGGACACCCCCGTCTTGGCCGCTCCCTCCCATCGGGACGATCAGAATGGGCACGGCAAGAACGGGGACATGAGACCGACAGCAGCTCCTGTTCCTGCTCAACCTGAGCAGGCTTCGCTGTCGGCGTCGCCGCGGACGGTGCCCATGTGAGACGGAAGGCCGCCTGCCCAACGGCGGCCGCGGTTGGTTTGGGACAGCATTTGTTGTTGGGCATTGTACCCATTGGTTCCTTACCATGGGGTTTTTAATGCTAACCGTCCCCTTCCCCCCCTAAACTCTCGGCTGCCACCGAAACCCGTCCTTCCCCTCCTCGGCCTTCCCCTCATCATCATCATCATCATCATCATCATCATCATCATCATCATCATCATCATCAGCAGCAGCAGCAGCATCAGCATCAGCATCAGCATCAGCATCAGCATCAGCATCATCATCATCATCATCATCATCATCATCATCATCATCATCATCATCATCATCATCATCATCACCATCAGGGATCCTCACCGCCCCCCGCCATCATCGGCGGCGGCCGCCACACACACACACACACACACGTACACACACACACACACACACACACACACACACACACACACGCGCACGCGCACGCACGCACGCACGCACGCACGCACACATAGCCGCGCCCCGACGGCGCACTGGCAAGATCAAGCGAGAATCACATGCAAGGCCTGCGTGCACGAAGGCGCTGGAGCATTGCGACCGCTACAACGGCGCAGTGACTCGGGGGCCTGCCGTTTTTTACCCCTGTGTTCCGACGTGGTGCGAGGGTTAGACCACTGCATCGGCGATGCGGCGCGATCCTCCGACCCCGTCTACTGGGACCCCACACAGGAGGCCTCTAGTTGGGCGCTCCAGAAGCGGCCTCGTCTTCGAGGGATTGAAGATATGGCATCTCTGTCACCCCTAAGATCCGGGCGCTGCAACGTTGCTCGCAACGGGCCGTTCGGCCAGGTTTCGGGCCCGGGTGCCCTCACGGATCGAGCCGGCTAGGAAAATGCCGCAGAAAGATGCGGTTTGGGGCTCGAGTCGTGACTTTTCGCGATGTCACACATTTGTTCGCCACGTCGGATGTCAGGGGTTTGCATCCTTTTCATTGCGGAAGGCGGCGGAAGTAAAGCAGCGGCGGCCTTGTTGGCGGAAGCCAGCGGAGGCAGGCGGAAGTACAAATCGACCTTCAAGGTCGAGGACTCAGGGCTTCCGGAACCCGCCAAATGACGTCCGAGTAACTCCAATCGCAGACCCCGTCGCATCGTGGAAAAAAGACGACGGGAGGTGTTTGGACATTTCCAACCTCTGGGGGCCCTCGGGAGGAACATTCGGCCTTGGAGAAAGGGTCGCATTTCGGAGATTCCAGATCTCCGACCATAGGAGTTTTGTGTCCCGGCGGTTTTCCTGGATTTCGGCCTCTGGGGGACGTTCTCGGGCCCCAGGGCCATCGAAAACAGATCAGGGACGAAAACTAAGTCGAGGGAAGGGGTATGGGGTCGCGAATTGAAAAAGTCTGACCGGCGGATGTCAGGGAATGGGGTCCGAGCAGATGGGGTCCGAGAATCGCGCCGCATCGCCGATGTACCAGCGATGCGACTCGATGCGGGGCCCGATGTTCATTGCGCCGACGTCGCCGATGCACCGCCAATGCATCGCCGACGTACGGTCGGACCGAGGTATTTGATCGAGGTCGGTTTGGGGAGGGTACCCTAATGCTCTTCGTGTTTGCCGGTTGTTCTTGTGCATCCTGGGGACGGGCACCCTCGGGTGATCTCATGGTGTAGGGGTGTCTTGGCAGGCGAAAGGCCCCATGTGCTTGAAGCATGCCCTTCCGTCCCAGATCCGGCCGCATTTGCCGATGCCTTGCCGATGCCTTGCCGATGCGGCGCGATCCTCCGACCCCATCGCACAGTGCCGTCTTTAATACATGCTCCGCGTGCGGATCATGTACTCAAAATGCAGGGGTTTAGCATTCAAAACAACGATGAGTTCATGCATACATGCATCCATAAGTTAATCCTATGTATTAAAAATCTCATGCTTTGTTTAAATCCTTCGTATTAAAAAACTGCCCTGTAGTCGGAGCCCTGGGGAAGCCTCGAGGCGGAGCGGGGTCGACGGGCTGCGGCCTGGGCCGCCCCGGGCGCGCGTCGGGCCGGGCCTCCGTCCAGGCCGCCGCTGTCCGTGTCGACCCAGGCGACCGCCAGGAGGGGAAGAGAAGCACAGACACAGCGAGCCGCCGATGCCCCGGAAGGCATGGAAGATGTGAGAAGTCTCGGGGGCGGAAAAGAGGGGGGTGATGACTAGGGAGGGGTGGATATCATGGCGGGGGCCATGATATTTCCCCAGATTTCATGGCGCCTCTTCTTATTTCATTACGTCTCTGGCCCCCCCGCTGGGCCGCGCACATGCCGCCGGTCATGATTTGCGCCCCCCCCCTCTTGGACACCCCCCTCTTGGCCGCTCCCGAAAGTCGAGGGGAAGACGAACGCCCAGGAAATGCGGGAGTACAGGGGATCCTGGGATGTGCGTGTCCATTTCTTTGTGTGTCCCTGGGCCCCTGCAGTCCATCCCAGACTTCCGGCGACCTGATTCTGGCAATGGCGGCGTTGATTTTGAATTCTGGCTGCTGCAGCCCATCATCGTTTGAAAAACGTCAACATGGCCCTCCAAGGCCCGTGCATCCTTACCGCGCATTCCTATGATACGGGTTGACTGTGTGCGGATGTCGGTCTGCTGTGTTGGCGTCCTCCTCCTCCTCCTCCTGCCTGCGATTCTCTTCGAGAGAGAGAGAGAGAGCGAGAGCGAGAGAGAGCTCTTTCTCCTCCTCCTCCTCCTCCTCCTCCTCCTCTTCCTCCTCCTCCTCCGTCTTCTCATCTTCCACGATCGTGTGAAACGCAGCAGGATGCAGTGGCCCGGGCTGCTTGGTCGCGTTGGCGCGGAGCGCTGGCGAAGCCTAGTCACGGTCCTGAGCCAGCCATATTGCGAAGCCTGGTCACACACCCTGGGCGCGAGGCGAACAAAACGTCAGAGAGTCGGCTGCTAGCAATCGTGACCACAGCCACCACCACCACTTGTCGGCGGCGCGCCTGGGGGGGCAGCGAGAGGGGGCAG